TTCAATTATATCAAACGTAATATGTGTGGAAGAGTTCATGGGTGGCAGGAAAGGCTCCTAGCTAAGGAAAGTAAAGAAGTGCTTGTGAAAGGCGTGGCTCAAGCTATCCCCGCATTCGCCATGTCATGCTTCGACCTGACAAAGACTTTTTGTGCAGAACTGAACACACTCATAGGCAAGTTTTGGTGGAGCCAGCAAGACAAGCAAAATCCGATGCATTGGATAAGTTGGGAGAAGCTAACTCAACCAAAATCAATGGGCGGGCTGGGCTTTAGGGACATGCATAGCTTCAACATAGCCATGCTGTCACGGCAGGGGTGACGGCTTGTTCAAAACCCGGACAGCCTTTGCGCCAAGATCTTGCAGGCGAGATACTTTCTCGGATGGACTGTGCTCGAAGCGGAAGCCCACGATGGTATCTCAAATGCTTGGCGGAGCATTCTCCATGGGCTGGAACTCGTGAAGCATGGATATATATGGAGGATTGGGGATGGATCAAAGGTGAACATCTGGTCGGATCCTTGGATACCGAAACCATGGTCTAGGAGAGTCATCACACCACGTGGGGCTAGCCTCCTTACAATGGTCAGTGAGCTAATCAGCCCAGTTACTGGGAAATGGGATGAAGAGCTTGTTCGAGACACCTTTTGTGAAGAGGACACGAAACATATCCTAAGCATTCCGCTAAGGGAGGGAGTAGATGACTTCACCGCGTGGCATTATGATTCGAAAGGGGAACATTCAGTCAAAAGCGCCTATAAGATCCAGGTGGAGTTGTGCAAGCAAGTACAAACCGGGGCTCCTGGAACGAGTTCTGCGGCTGCGGGACAGTTGGAGAGGCACGATGATCCAACCTGGAAGCGAATATGGAAAATGCGGTGTCCAGTAAAGCTGCAGATGTTCATTTGGAGAATGAAGCATTAGTCATTGGCACTATGCACTAATCTGAAGAGGAGAGGTATGAGGCTAGAGCGTTCTAGCTGTTTCAGCTGCGGGAGAGCGGAGGAAGATGGGGCGCACTTGTTCATAAAATGCAAGCTGGTGAAGAAAGGGTGGCGAGCACTTGGGCTGGAGCGCGAGCGCATGCAGCTCGAGAGCATCAGGGGGGTGCATGCAATGCTGGATAAATTGTGGGAGCTACATGAGAGGAAAAGGATGCTTATTATAATATTTTGGTGGCATTGGTGGAACAACCGGAACAAAATTCGAGAAGAGGAGCTGCCAATCGCTACATTTAGAGATCGTAAGGCGAGCAAAATGTGATGCAATGAAGTATGAGGAGGTATACTCTCCGTCAGGTAAAAATACCACAGCTAGATGGCAGGCACCTGCTCAAGGGGAGATCAAGTTCAACCTTGATGGGGCATTTACACCTGGTGGCAGTATTGGAGGATGGGGAGTGGTGGCCAGAGACCACGAGGGGCATGTGATAATAGCTCGAGCCGGTCGACAAGACAACATTCCGGATGCCTTCGTTGCTGAGGCTGGCGTGATGACTGCAGCGGTTCAAATAGCAACTGACATTGGTGTCACTCGAGCGGTTTTTGAAACTGACTCTCAATTGCTTGCTGATGCTTTGGACGTTTGGAAGGCCGATTCCTCACCTTATGCTGCGGTGATCGAAGACATAAAACTCCAACTTAAGTTGTGGTTTACAAAGTTCACTGTACGAGCTTGTAGGCGAGAGGCAAATTCTATTGCGCATGAATTAGCTCAAATAGGTCGTATGTGTTTACCAGATATCGGTATAGAGTGGACCACAACTGTACCGCCCATTGTGGTTGATCGTGTGTTGAGCGATATGCCCAACCACAGTTAATCTATAAAGCTATACTTTGCCTTAAAAAAAACGACAAGACCGGTAGAAAGGCCCACCTGCCAAGGCTGGCGATGGACCGGACAACAGGCCATCTGGCTTGGCACAACGTCCAAAAGCCAGACAGACACGCGGAAAAACTTCCTCCAGGCAGACCGCAACATCCAAAGGCCGGTATCCATCACCCAAGTTGCGTTCATTAAAATCTAATTTCACATAGTCATTCTTTGTTGGAGTGACCCGTTAAGGAGCATCACACGAACGCATGCCAACCACGGTAACAACAAACCGGACAAGGCAAACAACATGGCTTCGACCCGAACAAACCCACAACGAACCTCCCACTACAACCGTTGGGATCTGGCACGCGGAGGAATGAACCAGTTAGGATCGGGACAGCAATAGAAAACACTCAACGTGTGTGTGTCTGTGTTGGCCGGCCCTATCGCGAGTGCTCGGATGTTGGATGTTCTCGGAGCTAGGACGCGCTCCAGCTATGAAACATCAACACTTCTGGAAAATGGCTCCCATGTTCAGTGTCCGACAACGGCTGCACTTAACTGAAGTTTAACTGCCTGTAAGCTTCACTTAACTCTGTTTCGCTGCGTGTGATTTTAGTTCCTCAAGTGTTTCGAGTTGTCATCTTCTCTCCAAGTATTATTTCTAGCTATTGCTAGAACTAACCAACTTGGTAGATGAGACCGATCGCCATGAAATGTATCCAGTGACTTTAATCTGGTACTAGAAGCATACTGGTGCTTTGCTGCGCAGTTTTCCCCACTAACGCACAAAATCAGTGTGGACGTGTCATTCAGTGTGCAGTCTGATTCATTAACCTTCGGCTCTTTTCTGACGCTCTGGTTTTGCCTCAAGTGCTTGACTGATTAACTTTCAGTTTAACCAAATGAGTAATCAGAGTTTTTTTTTGCGGGGGAGTAATCAGAGTTTAGTTGCTACTGTTCCGGTTTAAGCTTAGGAGTGATTATCAGAGTAATATGCTCTGGCCAATATATACAACAGATTCAGTGCTGCATATGCTTACGGTTTTGCCTCGTATGTTTGACTTGTTTAATTTCAGTTATACCGGATGAGCACTCAAATTTGTTCGGACCATGCGCCGGTACACTAATTCTCTGAACACACCTGAAAAAATCGAGAACTTCTCTGAAGAATTCGACAGCTACCAGAATGATGGGCGGTTAGGATGCGCTTCACTTGTGAAACGTCAACGCCCTCGAAGACCAAGGGCTCCCCTGTTGAGTGTCCGACAACGGCTACAGTTGACTGAAGTTCTTTTTGAAAACACACAGTTAACTGAAGTTTAACTGCTGTAAGCTTCAGTTAACACTTTTTTTCTTACGTGTAATTTCAGTTCCTCCTGTAAATAGCTTCCGTGATTTGTTGATCGGGTTATCATCTTCGTCTCCAACTATTATCATCTGTATCTACTGCTGGAACTAGAACTAGAACGAGACTGCTTGGTAGATCATATCGTTCCCGATGAACTGTGTCCAGTGACTTTAGTACATCTTCCCTCCTTTCGGTACCAATACATCATATGTTTCGTGGCACTTTAGTTTTACCTTATATGTTTGACTGATTCAGTTCCAGTTAAATTCTGCAAAATATTCCCCAGTTCTAAACCCGTCCAGGAGTTTGGCGAGCGTGAGTTTCATCCATAGTAGTTGTGACTTTTAAGGTGCTGTTCTTAAGGTTAGTTTGACTCTGCATGCTGCCTTCAGTGTCACGTTCCAAGATAGATGTTGCCTTTTCGCAGTTTTTAGCTCTGAGTTTTGAATGCAACTTTGAATTACTCGTATGAAACCCGTAATCGGGCAATTGAATTGGTTGGATGCTAATCTGGCACAAGTTTTGACACCTTGATTTTGAAGTTCAGTACTTCAGTACTTCAGCGCTCTACAGACAGTATAAATTATAAAATGCCCAACATGCTAATTCAAATACACTTTGAGGCGTAAAAAAACGTCAAAGGCAAAGGACAGACGAAACATTAAACTTGGATATTCATTCGTTAAACTTTGGTTCAAACCAAATGAGTACTCAGTGCTTCGTCGCTACTGTTTCAGTTTAAGCTAATTACATGTGACCATGATTATAAATTCTAATAACATGATACGGCCAATACATACTACTGATCACTTCCATCCAGACTACAACTTTCTCCATGTACCACAAGCCTGACACAAAGGCATGGAGCACCTGCACATGTGCTTAGTTGTGAGTGCCATAACATTGTTTCCAGAAATCGCTTCAGTTGAGCACCTGCACTTGCAGAATTAAACAAGTCGATAGGGTGGGGTGACGCAGATCAGGCTTGTGACGTATGGAGAAAGTTGATAGGGTGGGGTGACTACTCATATCCTCATTTCCTTTGCTATTTCGTCTAGAAGAAAACATTTTCATTTCAGAAACAATTCTTCTTCATTCTATAAGACTTTGCCAATTTAATAAGCAAAATTCTCTCTCTCTCTCTCTCTCTCTCTGACCTACAGTTTACTTCTATAGTGCTCTTTGTATTTTGCAAGTAAATAATCTGAAAGAAGTGAAAAATGTCTCTGCATTTTTTTTCAAGCCACGTGCTTTTTATCCCTGGGAAGGCAGATGCTTATAAATTGGTCTTGCATAAAACTGAAACTCTCAACTATCAATTCACATTATAGTTTTACATCTCTTACCCCTGCCAATTTGCCAGTTCTTTCTCTTGTCTTACAATGATGACAAGTCGCGCTACTGAGGGGCTGATTCGTCGTGTCTTGGAAAGACCTGAGGGGTGCGGAGCCATGGTGGACTGGCAGCGGGAGGGCACTCACACAAATCTGAGAGGAGACGAACTTTTATACAGAAACTTAAAGGGAGAGGGGAATCATATTTCATTCCATCTGGGTATCAAATGCTCAACAAAGGTTACACACAAGAAGGAAACATTTGAAAGAAGATTAAGAGCATGTCTTACAGGTAGCATAGAAGCACTCGAGATAAAATCAGCAACTTGATAAATAAGAAGTTCTGATTTGGACAGATTGATTAGGGCGACTTTCACGCCAATCATATCACTTGAGAATTAACCTAATCACTCTTGGATTCATCTAACGTTGAGTTGATCATCCCTATGACAAATTGGTGTGAGAAATTTAGCCAATCTAACAGTATAGTTGCCCATGTTTCATGAAAACTTTCTTCTCTTCACCAGTTCATCCACTATGAAAGATGGGCAAGTCGCCTTGAGATCCTTTAAGAGTTGGGTTGCCACCACAGCATCCATGAAATTTGATAATTCGATAAATTCGAGGCAAGCATCCTTAAGTTGGTGGCAGTTATGTTGGTCAGCTAAAGCCAATGTGGTTGCGACGGTGTCCACATTCAGATCATCGCAAAGGATGCTTTGGCAAACCAGCTTGAGCCTATCCATTGCATATCTGTCCGCGGCCACTAGTAAGAGCCGGATCATCTCTGTATCCTCGCCGCTAGGCACATAGTCCGTATAGATGAAATGGAGCAGGGCCTTGAAAACGGCAGGTTGCATGTCCTTGATGGTTATGCACTGCCCCAGCCTCGCCTCATGCATTGACCCATAGAGCTCTGCTTTAAAAACAGGCGACCTCATAGCGAGAACAAACCTATGTGCTTCGATGGTCTCTCCTCCGACAATGAAACAGACATCAAATCCCTTCTTTTCTTCAAGCAGCTTGCTAACATGCTCAGTCATGTCAGCTTGTGGCATGTCGATTTTAGGGAATGATTTGGTTTGAGTAACATGTGGCATCTTGAAAACAGTTACGATGCATTCGATCGTCAGGCGGTCATCCCTAAGGTAGACGGATCCCTCGATCTCGCTTCGCCTTATGAAAATAGGAGTATGTGGAGCCATGATAGTAACATCACAAGAATCGAAAAACCTTGGTTCTGTTTTATGCATTGAAGATGAGAATCCAGTGTACTGATCAACCAGCCTCATGTCGCAGGATGCCCGGACTTTAGTGTTCTTGCTCAAAAGCACGAGAAAAACTGAGATGTAATCTTCCCCATGTCCATTAAACGGGCCAAATCCATTAAACCCGTCAGGGTAGAAGTTGATTTCCCAGTCGTGGCCATCGACGGAGAAAATTCCGGACCGTATGTGACTGTCGAGGTCGTGGCCCATGCCCCTGTGCTTGCTGTAACCCAAGATATCAAACACATGTATGCCTCGAGTCTCCTCTGCTGGGGTGCACATGGACACCGTCTTAGATGTCTTCATCTGGTTGCCGGCCGGAGCAGAAAAAATTGCCTCGACGGCAGCCCCGCGCGCTAATCTGATGATGTGAAAGAGAAGACGTGTTAATCTGAGTGGAAATCAGAGGGAAAGAGAACCAGCATAGGGGGGAGCCTGTGGAACCTTCAGGCCTCCGATCGGAGAAAGGCGGCGGTGGCGAGATCGAATATGGAGATAAACCGCGACGACTTTCCTTTGAGTATCGAGATAAACGGCGACGACTTTGCTTTCGAGGGGAGGAATAAGGTACTCGCGGGGCGTGGGGTCTCTTCTCGTATCCAGACGTCCCAAAAGCAGAAACGGAACCGGATAGAAACACAAGCAATAAACCATATCAGATTGCGGCAAGATTTCAGCGAACGATTAGTTTTTTTTTTTTTTTTTGAGGCAGCGAACGATTAGTTGGCTAGGAACGCTGGAAGCTAGCGATCTTTTTTTTTTTTGAGAGAGAGAGATCCTGTGATGGAAGCTAGCGATCGATTGTGTTCGCTAGTACAACGTCCGAGCGCGGACCCTTTTTGGGCCCTGCCTGTCAAAAGGGCCAGAAAAACAAAATCTCGACACAAAAAAACAGAGGGAAAAAAGCATTGGGCCAATCGAAAAATCGAAAAATCTAGGAAATTCATAAATGTACGTCTAACATGATTTTTTTTCCCATGCTCTAGTGAATAAAACCATCACATATTTTTGAAAAATTCATAGTGAACTACAGCGAGCGCAAAAAAAAAGACATAATTTTGTTTTAAACATCAGTACAGACATAAGCGATCATAAAAACTGACATAATTAACGAGTAGGTTTAGGCAAAATACGCCACCCCAGGGGCAGCCTTCGTGTTGATGTTATATATGATTACAAGCCTTGGAGCTCAAGAGAGATCTCACCGAATCACACAATATTCGGTACGTTCATATATTCCTATAAAATAAAACTATACTGGAGCCAGGCAACCCAGTCATTGGCCTAAGACACAAGTCAGAACCGATGCATATATTGGTGTAAGGTCCGGGGAAGTCGTCGGTAGCTCTGCAGAGCATCTGGACACTTTTGGAGATTTCAGCTGCCTGCAGCCTCCGGGTGCCTTCATCAGAGCTTAAAGGCATCCGACGATGTATTCAACCCGAGGAGAATGAAATAGCGATCAAGTTTAAATGAGACTAAGAATGCACCATGAGTGTATATGCAGCCCACACTCTAGGCGTCTCTTTATTCAATTTCAACTAAGGACAAGCCTAATGCTGGAGCTAATTAATCACTATCTAGGATACATGTGTAGAGATTTTGCAAAATGTCTTTGGTGGAGATGGTGTTCCGAGATCCGAGCTTGAGGCTTCATGCCTAGTGTTGACGTGTCGTTCCGCATTCTCCGCCTATTATCCCTTGTCCAACCAAGGGTGGCGACATCTGCTTTTCAGCACAAGGTTGTCATTGCTCCTCGTCTTAACCGAGGGAGTATGTCATGTGTTGACTTTCACAGTCGTTTTCGGCGCCATCGTGTATTGCCTAGGTACGGTGCTGGTCGTAAGAGTAGAAGCTCTGAGTCCAGCCCCCGGTTTGGCTCTTATCTCAGTTGTCCTCCTGGTACTCTTGATAAGCACTCAGGGATCCAAGATGGCAACCATTTTTTGCACGGTACGACGAGGTGCCTGGGCACCTTAACTTGTACCTGATCGACGCCAGGGGTAGGTTTAGCACCGTTCCTAGGTCTTGGCCTTGCATCATAGCTTGCTTCTTGGATTCTGAGAACATTGATTTTACCGCTTAAACCGACGTCGGGCATGTTGTCGTGCATGGTGTGTGCTCCAAAAGCCCCCAAGGGAGTCTTTAATGCGAACTTGTGGTTCCGAGGAACGTAATCCTCGGAAGCACACGGGGAGGTGGAGCGCGTATCAATATTTAGGGTCTAGATGTGTCGAATCTGAGGTGACGTTCACCTGGTCCTCGGGGTGTGTCTGACGTATGCTAGAGTCGTCATCGGATGCGCCATGACGCCTCCTTGGCTTCTTAAACCTCGGCTGCGAAAGTCACGGTCTGCTCTCGGTTCGAAGTGAACGCTCGGCATTGCCATTCACCGTTATGATGTCATAGGGTCCTGACATCTTTAGCTTTAGATAAGAGTACTGCAGGACCGCATGAAAATGGGCGAAAGTTGTTCTTCCGTGGAGTGCATGATAGCCGATCCTGAAGGGGGCGATGTTGAAGCTCAAGGCTTTGTTGCGATTTTTTTTTGCATTTGCCAAACACTATGTCCAGAGTCACCACCCTACCCGAGCACTATGCCCCAACGCCTGTTATTATACCCTTCAACTTAGTATTACTAGGGAAGATCCGTGCTGGATCAATATGCATCTTCTTGACGGTGTAAGCATATATAAGGTTGAGTATCACATCCTAAATTTTTCCCAAATCTAGTATGTTAAATTTTCGGAAATGTTAACGCCCACACGTGTGGGCGTTTGCACATCGCCCACACGCTTTCATGACCACTCATTTTGCCACGTATGAATAGATGACATAAGCAGAATTTTTTTTGGTTTTCGGCATTAAAATGTTGTATCTTCTAAATAAAAAAGCAAACTAAAAATCCGTTTTCACCATTAAATCCGTCTCGACGAGATCTTCAAAATTAGACCCCATGTTGATATGTTTCGACGAATTTTATTTGTTTGCCAGAAGTTGCCACAATATTTACACTGCAGTTGCCATAGGGCTTAAACTAAAGTTGCCATGTGGCAATTTTAGTTTGTAGATCATGTCAATTTTAGTATTTTGATGATGGCAACTCCAGTACTTTGATCATGAAAATTATTTTTTGTATGAACCATGGCAATTTTACGTGCATGTATCATGGCAATTTTAGTTTATGGTTCATGACAAGTCTAGTTTCTTAATTCCCCGTTTTATAAATGTCAAAATTTACTTTTAAATGTAGAAGAAAATAGCTGAAACATATCATGTCAACTTCAGTGTAAACATCATGGCAATTCATATGCAATAGACATGACAACTTTTAATCCAAAAAAAATTCATCAAAACATATCAACATGGGATCTAGTTTCGAAGATCTCATCGCGAGGGATTTAATGGTGAAAATGGATTTTCAATCGGATTTTTCGTTTAAGAGATAAAACATTTTAAAAACTGAAAATCCAAAAAGATTCCTGCATGCATGCATGCGATGACATGGCAATCTGTTTACATTAGAGACGTGTGGTGCGTCTCCCTTCCTGCCACATGTGTGACAGTTAGCGCGACCCTAAATTTTTCACAAGGAATTAAAAAATTTCAACAAAATACCCATGATTACCTAGGATTGTTTGAATTTGACTTTGTTTAGTTTGATTGTTTGCCTAGAAGTGATAAATCCCAAAGCAACCAGTAGAAACCTAGCAAGCCTTGGTAGGAACCCAAACCACTTTTGAAATATTGTTAGACAAAATCTTTCTTAATAAGTGTCAAGAATATTCAAGCCAAAGTGATTTTCCTTGAAATGAGTTGGATTCAATTTGAGATCAATTCAAATCAAGGGGGAATTATTCAAAATGGCTTTGCATTTATTTTGGCAGGAAGATGAATTCCACAAGTCCACACAATGACCTAGACCCTCTGACATTTTTCTAAAATGAATTTGAAACACATTTTGTTTTGAAACGAAATTCAAATTCAAATAGAAAATATAAGTTGCAGAAATATATGTCCAAAATGGTCAAACAAAATTTTTCACATGTTCACAAATATTTCATTTGGAATTTAGAAAATATTATCTGTTGGGAGAAAAATCAAATTCAAAACCTATCTCTACTACTAATAAAATATCAAACATAAACTTCTCTAAACACACGCCATAAAACGTACACGGATGGATTATCACCACATGATTAGTCCTATTAAACTTAATCTAACGGCTTGTGTTAATCTAATCCGTTCTCTTGTGTCACTACTAGAAAAAGGGCTATGATGGGATTGACATTAATGGTGCACCAGACAAGGGGTGCACCATTAGTATATACTAATGGCGCACCACCTTCAGATACGCCATTAGAGTTGAAGCTACTAATGGCGCACCTGGCCCAAGGTGCGCCATTAGTATCAAAAAAAATTGAACTAGTGCGCCTGTCCAAACATACTAATGGCGCATCCAGACACAGTGCGCCATTACTAGTTGTAACTAATAATGGCGCACCCGTCGGAAAGTGCGCCACTAAAGTTGTTTTTTTATTATATTTTTTATTCCTTTTTTTGCAATACTACTAATGGCGCACTGTACAACCGTGCGCCATTACTAGTTCAAACTAGTAATGGCGCACTGTAAAATAGTGCGCCATTAGTATGTTCTTTTTGCAAAACTACTAATGGCGCACCGCCAGAAGGTGCGCCATTAGTAACCTGGATTACTAATGACGCATTTAGTGCTGGTGCGCCATTAGTAAGTGGGCAGCAACAAGATATTTTGGACAGCCTCTCCTACCCACACTCACTTTCTCCCCACTTCATTCTCTCCACCTCCTCCTTGTCTCGGGTGCCTCCTTTTTTTCACCTCATTTCCACCATAGATTCATTCAAATTAAGTGGTTAAATTACCTTGTTTTGATAGGTAAGTAAGGGGGAAAACTATATTTATGTTGTTCTCCCTACAACAATGTGCACATACACTTTTTATGGCCTAGCTAGATCTATGTATGTTCGTGGTGTTGCATATGTTTGTGGTGTTGCATATGTGTTTGTGTTTGGAGGTGTACCGGTATTTGAAATGCGATAGTTGCCAATATTTTGCCGGAATGTTGATTCATTTCCGTTTCGGCGAGAATTTTGGCATTAAGCATTCTTTTTGGTCCTATTTTTAGGGAAAGTCATGCCAAATTTTTTTCTTGGTTCTAAAATATCGTTTTGCTCTACCCCGCAGGCGACCATGGTCCGCACGATGACCGAAGGCATCGTGAATAGGTTTTTGAGGTCCGCGAAGGCCGAGATGCTTCAAAAGAACG